AATGTTGAGCAGCGAGCCCATTGGCTACCGATACAGGAGAGAACCAATCAGCTGTGCCATGTGATAATGATGTCATAAGGTCAGATTGAGTTAGACCTATCGGACTGCGCCATCTAGAGTTTCATGCCAGAACTCTGTATTTCAGCTACTCATTCATCTTGTATACCTGCTATATGGTGCTTTACCTTACCAGTGTAGTTGTTTTTCCATTATAAAGATTGTATCAAGGTGGGGTGATATCTGAGACATCACGGCTTTTCATCATGCCTTTCATCATCAAGTCCTGTTCAGCTCTATTTTACGATATTGTAAATTCTTAATGATTACATTCCAAACTGTTGTGCCACACATACATTTTTATTTAAGACCACACTAGGTATTTACATTCACTAATTTCTGTGAGTCTGAATGAATCCAATCCGATTTCAGATTCTGACATTTCTGAGTATATGAACCCTTAATTTTGTCATCTGATTTTCGTCACATTTTAGTTTACATGTACTTTTATTTATTCTGAAGAAAACTTCAGTGCATTTGCAGTGCATTTTTAGCAAATATTCTGTAACTATTCAGTGTCCTCTAGTCACCATGCAATTCGTAAGACTTAAGTACATTCACAAACCTATGTTAAAGGGGTCATATGATGCTGCTAAAAGAACATTATTTTGTGTATTTGGTGTAATGAAATGTGTTTATGCGGTTTAAAGTTAAAAAAACATTATTTTCCACATACTGTACATTATTGTTTCTCCTCTATGCCCCGCCTTTTTGAAACGCGTCGATTTTTACAAAGCTCATCGGTCTGAAAAGGTGAGGTGTGCTGTGATTGGCCAGCTATCCAGTGCGTTGTGATTGGCCGAATACCTCAAGCGTGTGACGGAAATGTTACGCCCCTACCATACTGTGATGCCCTGTCCCGGCCGGAGCGACGAAACAAAAAACATGAAAACCCATTACAAACGAGGCATTTGTTGCATTCAGTGGGGACATAATTACTGATTATAATGACTTATACTGTCTTTTTACGCGTTGTGTTGCATCGCGCCGCGTAAACATAAAACCATGTCTGCATTTGTGATCAGAGAAATGACAAACTACAAACACTACTCTACACTGCCCAAAACTCGCGTTTGAATCATCAGTGGCAAATCCTTTAAATGAAAACGTACTTACAGACTGTCAAAATTATTTTTATTATAACTAAAAACCAATTATGGGATACTTTAAGGGTTCAGTCAGTAAAACAAAAAAAAAAGCCCCTTTATGTAATAATTTTTCACTGCTGTTATATGGTTATGCACAAACTACCTCTCAGATACCTCTATCTTGTGTTGCATTGGACAGATGTCTAAATGAGAATGTGCACTTGTTTTGAATTTTAAAAAATGAACTTTTGCACACAAAGTATTTTTTATGATTTAATACTTTATTCATCCAAGGGCTATGTTTAAACAAACTGCTTATATGCATGGTATGGTATATGTGCCCTTGCCATTGACAATATGGAGATAATACAGTGAATGACAAACTGAAGGTATAAATGCACAGGTATAAATGTATCAATTATCTGCAATTAAATGGCAATTAGACCGACCTGTTTGAATCTTTGAAAAAGGATTGTCCTTTGTCCTGCTACTTTTGTTTCTTAATCTCAGTGCTCACCAGGACTGAGTCGTTTACCTCTAGGTAGCCAGAGAGAGTTATTTATTGCGCCCTCATTCATACGCAGGCATCCACATTCATCTTAAACCTCCCTAATGGGTAATGCACTTAAGAATCCACCTGAACATTACCTGATGGAAAAAAAAAAAAATTTTGTTATACTTTCTTAAATCCAGTTGTTTGTTTAGGAGATTCTTATAAATGTATGTAGATTGCTGTGCCTCAAAAATATCTGTGAAGTGTGCGTGTGTGTGTGTGTGTGTGTGTGTGTGTGTGTGTGTGCGCGCGTTTTTGTGACAAATGAGGACATAAATTTGTATAATGACAAAGGTATAACATAGGTATTACAAGGAGAAGGTGACTTTTCAGGACATTACCCCATGTCCCCACTTTTCAAAACGCTTATAAATCACACAGAATGGAGTGTATTGAAAATCTGAAATAGCACAAAGTTTCCTGTAAGGGGTAGGGTTGGTGTAGGGCAATAGAATATACGGTCTGTACAGTAGAAAAACCATTACGCCTATGGGATGTCCCCACTTTTCACAAAAA